CCCCCGCACCTACCATTGTGTAGCTGACTGCTGCTGAGAAGACAAAGTAAAACTTAGCAAGGGGAGCCGAGAAACCTGCTAATTGCAATGCCCCTCCAGCGCCCTCTACTGACAAAAATTAACATCATGCTCGCTTCAAGGAGAAATGCTTGAGAATGAAATTTATTATCAAAAAGAAGATAATAAAGGGTGAGCTCTGATCTAAGAGACAATAATTGACAACTGGCACATGTTGATGTGCAAAAGCCCTAGAATAGTCGAAACAATCTTGAAAAAGAAAAACAAAGCTAGAGGTCTCGCACTTCCTTATTTTAAGTAATCAAGACTGGCTGCCAATTGATTTTTGACAAAAGTACCAAAACAATTCAATGCAGAAAAGGAATACCTTCTCAACCAATAGTACATGAATAATTATATATCATAAGGAAAATTTCATTTCAACTGCTATCTCATAATTTTACATATATTCATATATTTTATAATATGTTATAATAATATAAGTTTATATTTTTATCAGTTTATATTATATATATGAGATAGAGGTTAAAATGAAATTTTTCCTTATGAATCTCTAGTTGTTCCTGCACTATCGGTTGAAAAGACTTTTCTTTTCTGAGATGAATTTTTTTGGTATACATATTTATATATAAAATTTATCTATGCTTTTATATATAAAGTCATATATATGAACTTGAGATGGATCTTAGACCTAAATGTAAATGTAAAATGTGTAAAGCTACAAGGAGAAAATAGATAAGCATATCTTTGTATCCAGAGGAAGGCAAAGTTTTCTTAGGACACAAGAAGAAGCAATTATAAAAGAAATTAGGCTTCATCAAATATCTAACTTTGCATCAGAAGACACTGTTAAGAAAATGAATAGACAAGCCACAGACTGGCAGAAAATATATACCCGCAAAGGATTTGTATGCAGAATAAAAGACTCCTACGGTTCAATAATAAAAATTCAAACCCAGTTAAAATTAGGCAAAAGACTTGAATGGACACTTCACAAAGTAAAACAGATAAGTGGTCGAGAAGCACATAGAAAAGTGCTCAACATCATTAGTCATCAGGGAATTGCAAATTAAAACTACAGTGAAATATATTTGCAAGCAATGCCTCCGATAAGGGTGTAATATCCTAAATACACAAAGAACTCATACAACTCAATAACAACAACAACAACAACAAAAACAATCCAATTAAAAAAGGGGCAGAGGTTTTACACAAAAAGCTTGCCAACCCCTGCTCTAGAGTGTAAACCCTATGAAGACAATGTACTTTGTCTATTTTTCTTATTCCTGTATTTTTAGCACTCAGAATATTGCCTGGCACCACGCACAGGTACTTGTTAAATATTTATTAAATGATTGAACACATAGATGAATGAATATCCAAATGTATCTAGAAAATGATTTTCTTAGATCAACAATAATTGAGCACCAACTTGTGCCAGGCATTGGACTTGGTGCAGAGGACACCATAATAATCAGAGACCAATAAATTCAAAGGCACTATGAAGAAAGTCACATTACAGGTAAATGCCAGGTGTTATGGGAGCCATAAGGAAGGATACCTGAGCAAGGCATCCAAAGATGATGGCTTCTAAGGATGAGTTCTCCAAGTAAAAGGAAGCATGAAGGGCACTACAGGCAGAGAGTGGGAAGTGCATTGGTCCAAACTGTGACAACCACAGTTCTCGCCATTTACAACAGCATGAATGGCCCTTGAAGTAATCATGCTAAGCGAAATAAGCAGACAGAAAAAGCTGAAAATCTCATGATATCACATATATGTAGGATATAAACCTAAAAGCAACAAACAGGACAAATGAACAGAGACTCATGGACATGCACAATAGATAGTGGTTACCAGAGGGTAGAGGGTGGGAGGAGGTGGAAGGTAGATGGGGTAAATGTGGTCAAATATGTGGTGACAGAAAGAAATCTAACTAGGGGTGGCGAAAACAAAACATATATATATATATATGCCTTACTGTTGAATTGTACACCTGAAACTTACTGGATTTCGTTAACCAATGTCACCATAATAAAAAAATTTTTTAAAAAGAAAAAATAAAACAGTAGGACTGATAAGAGGTGTTGGATTAAGGAGAGGGATAGTTAAATGCAAGGGGATCTCTTTTTGAGGTGATGAAAATGTTCTAAAATTAACTAGTGTTGGTTGCGCATGTATGTGAATATATCAAAACCACCGAACTATACATTTTACATGGGTGAATTGTATATGTGATTTATATTTAAATAAAAGCATTAAAAAAAAAAAACTTATAGCGAGATACTACCAGAATAGTTCAAATACAAAAGACTAACAACATCGAATATTAGTGAGGATGTGGAGCAGACAGAACTGTCATTCACTGCCGGTAAGAATGTAAAGTGATTGGATCACTTCGGGAGAAGGTCTGGCAGTTTCTAATGAAGTTAACCATGCCTCCTCTATCCTTTGATTCGGCAATTCCATTCCTAAGTATTTACATAAGAGAAATGCAAACATATGCCCACAAAAAGACTGGAACATGAAGATTTACATCAACGTTATTCATAATGGCCCCAAACTGGAAACATTCCAGATTTCCATCAACTGGAGAAAGCATGTGGACCATCCATACAATAGAATGCGCACATTGATAAAAGAGAAATGGCTGGTATGCACGGATGACTCTCACAGACATTATGCCGAGTGAAAGAACTCAGACACAAAAGGGTGCATGCCGCATGATCCCATTTATATGACATTCTAGGACAAGCAAAACTAATCTACAGTGAAAATCAGAACAATTGTTGCCTGGTTAGAGGGATTGTCTGGCAAAGGACATTTTTGGAGTGATGGAAACGTTCTCTAACTCCATAGGGCTGTGTGTTATGTGGGTGTATCCATTTGTCAAGATACATTGTTAAGGTTTTATGCATTTTGAGATGTTTTATTTTTTAAAAACCATTAAACTAGTCAAGAGGGGATGGGATGGAGAGTAGACGGAGGTATAAATGAAAAGTGGTAGAATGTTATTAATTGTTGAAGCTGGGTATAGGAGGGATTTAATATACTATTCTGTTTACTGTGTATATATTTTTAAATTTCCCATAATAAAAAGTTTTTTAAAACAATTGCCACTAGATGTCTCCCTACACTAGCCAAATGGAGCTAGAATAAACAATTGCCTGCTCACTAAGATTGAAAACAATGCATTTAGATCAAACAACATTTTAGTGATTTCAAATATTCTCATTTTAAGGTTCTGTTCTGTCTTTATAAGAGAGGCAGTATAGCATAGTGATTAAGCACAAGGACTGTGGAACATGAGCCCATTCAGGTTCAAATTCTACCTCTGCCTTCTTGGCTGTACAACCTTGGGAAAGTCTCTTAATCTCTTCATGTCTCCGTCGTTCCTGTTCCACATCTGTAAAATGGAATCAGTGGTGCCTACTTCACAGGGTTGTTGAACAGAACCACGAAAAGTACTTGGATCAGTGCCAGACACAATGTCCGCTGCGTGAGCTCTTGTTTCTGTCCTCATTAGTGTTAATAATACATTAGAAACAAGAACATATTAAAGCAAAAAATCTGTTGGCTAGTAGTCAACAAGGCCTTATGAAATTGGGAGTGGGCAGGAGTCTGGAATAACATCTAAAGCTACACCCACAGATATTACTACAGTCAGACCTCTGCAGGTGGTGGGTGTAGAGATGAACAAAGCTTCTTTCTTAGCTCAGTCCGAGAGAGAAGAAGGTGATGTGCTTACAAGAGCGAGCCCTATAGTCAGCCTAGGGCCTTATGTAATCTGCAGCCCAAAGAGATTTGATAAACCTCCTGGATTCAGGAATGAGACAACAAAATCACAAGAAACCTAAATATATAAAATTAAGGAAAGGAGAGCCTTTCTGATTAAAGGAAAGGTGAAAGTCTCGCTGGTTGCCCCATGGACACATGGGAGAA